CACGCACGCCATTGCGAAATGACGGTGGGCGGAGTTTACAGTTGACGACTTCTACGGCTCGTTTTAGAGGAAAATAATCTTTTACAGTCTAGTTTTCACACGTCTACACCCATGTTTGAACCTCTGCCTCAGTTTTTTATTGAAAACTGTAAATTGTTCGGTCATCATGTCATGACCGCTTTAAGAAACGCGTAAAAATGTCTACGCCCACAAGATTAAAAAAAAACGTGACTCATCCCTCCATCTAGGAACCGGCATTACACGAAAGTGAAACGGGTATTCACCGGGCTATTTGAGAGTTTATTGTACATTTTTTCAGCAACAGCAACAAATTGCTAAGTCAGGTGAAGAACAGCAAGCCGCTAGAAACTTGCAGCGCACACCTCAAGCAGAAAGCACGCACGAAATTAGCATAGACCGGACGAGTGCGGACTAACAAGTACCATATCTCCACAGTTCAAGCGCCCTGTTCACACAGAAAGAAAGACGCATGAAACGAACACACAAGTATACAGGTCCAGCGCAAACTATCACAATTCGTACTTCATCACACGGTGCGAGAAATTCCTATATGCGTTGTCGTGCGTCAGCAGCGCGCTCCTTACGTAAACGCGGCCGTGGCAGTGGCGGCGACTTTCGTCCTCTCCCGAATGACGAGTCTGATAAGCGCGTGCGCAGGAGGGACCACGCTCCGTGGAGGCGGCGACCATTAGATCGCCCCCAACGCACCCAACGCGAGACCATCGCGCCATCTCGCTACTGATACCGAAAACACGCTAAAGTTTTGGAGCTTTGAGGACCACCAAATGGTGTACACAAATGACTTCCCGTTAGCATCCTCGACAACTTATGCTCCATGGCATAAAGCCGCTATAACGTGGCATAGTGGTTAGCGCCGCGCCCTGTGGATAGAGAGGTTGCTGGTTCGACGCTGCACGCGAAATAATGTTTCCTTCTAGTTTTTGTAGGCTTTTAGTATGTATTTTACATCGTCATATCCTTGACGGAAATACGTAAGTGGAGATTAGGGGTACTGCGGTATAAAGGCTTTCGTGTTAGAAATATCCGTCCACCCACCTTTCTGCTATGTTGGATGATTATATGTGTGGTTTAACGTCCCAAAACCAACGTCTGATTATGAGATAAACCGTAGTGGAGGGATGCGAAAATATCGACAACCTCCAGTTCTTTAACGTGCACCCAAACCTGAGCATGCGGGCCTACAGCAATTTCGCCTCCACCGAAAATGCAGCCGCCGCCGCCACGATTTGATCCCGCGACTTGCGGCCGAGTGCCTTAGCTACTAGACCACTACAGCGGGACCTGCCACTCAAGGTGATCCATAAAGATAAATAAACAAATGAATAAAACAAATGTCCTCTTGGTAGGGCTGAGCTTGGATCACGGCGTAAGATACGTGACCTGCATGGAAGGCGTGCTCGACTAGATAAAGCAACAACGCGCGTCCATTGGCACGGTGATGGCAGCGGATATCCATCACTAGCAGGGCGCAAGAAAGAAAGGACATTTAGGGGCGAAGCTCCTAAAGGCGTGAATCGGTCTATTCCTTGTATGTATGTACGTGACCGCCTAAATAAGTATACGCAAAGCTACGCATGCCACGCGTGTCTACGGAACGTTTTAAAAACAGTCCACCGTGCATTGCTGCAGCATTTCTTCTGGCCCCTAATCCAAGAGACGTACCTCCACTGTACAAGGAGACTAGTATCAAGCTTAGTTTTTATCAGAGTCGCTGTCTTTTCCGGAAGACAAAGTGATGAGGGCGATGAAAATTTAAGTGAATCGTGTACATCAAGATGGATTCAAACCGCAAAAATTTCGACTAGTTGGTACGTTTTTATGATAACAGAGGGTTAGCGTACAGGTGGCCACACCAGAGAAGAGATGGGATGAGCATTGTCAGCGTTAGCGTTGTTCTGATACCTTAAGTCTATGTCTGCGAATCTACCTCCTTTTAAGGTTAATTAAGGTTTGTTGTTCATTCATCTGTACGTATAGTAGTAAACAATCGCTTTAAAATATAGTTCGACAAGCATGTTCTGACTAGCTCGCAGCCAAACACTAGATGCTCACACGATCACCGACAGCACCTGCCGTGACAGCGGCCATGGTGTACCAATGAGCGCAGGGAGACGGAAGAAAAGCATTCGCGACATCCTTCCTGCCCAATTGTTTTCATAATAAGAAATAGCCTGACCTTTTCATACCACATGCGCTGGAACACTTCCGCCTCGTCTTGTTTGGCGAAGCCGTCGCACCACCCGCGGATAAAGCGTGCGCAGAGCGGGCGCTGCCGCGTCGACCTTGCATAGAGCCTACGCGTCACACTTAAAATAAAATGAACATTTTAAATAAAAACTTTAAGGACATATGGCTAATGAAAGAAGCACGCAGACAACAACGCTGACCTGCTACAACGTTTGTTTTTCTAAACAGTGTAATGTATGCCTGCACAGTCTATACAAACGAGAAAATGAGCTACAAAAATGGTTTAAAAACTTCAATGATAACAATACCTAGGGTTTCATGCATGTCCCAAAATCAATTTATGATCATAAGAGAAGCTATAGTTGAAGGTTTCGGAAATTTAGACTATCTGGTGTTCTTTGATGTGCGCTGACATCACACAGTGCGCGAGCCTCTACCATTTCGCCTCCATTGAAATGCAACTGCTGTGGCCGGTATCAAACCCACGACCTTCACGATCAGCAGCCGAAAACCGTAACCACTTCTCGACCACGGGGGACTCGCAAACCAGTGATAAAAGTAATTGAATTGATAAAATATCTTCGCTAGCTAATTGTTAACGAATTCTTTTGGTTTTACAGGCCAGCAAACCACGATATGATTATTAGGGACGCCACAGCGGAGGACTCCCGAAATGCTTGACCATCCGGTGTTCTTGAGTGCACCTAATCTAAGCACGCGGGCTTTACACATTCCGTCTCAATCGGAATGTCGCCAACGTGGCTCAGATATCATCCAGTGACTGTCAGGTCGCACGCTAGCTACACGTTACTACACTACTACAAGTGCCTTAGAATATCGATGGTGTCTAAACAGCCAAGCTGTTTAAGCTAGCCGTACTTTGGGTGTGCGGCCTATAAAAAAACTGTCATCATAATGAAAGGGTACGTGCCAAGAAAATTGGATAAATTCCTCTACTTACCACTGGTCCATCAAAAAATGAAGAAAGGCAAAAGTTAGTCCACCAGCTGTGAAGCGATGGTGATCGCACTAAGACCCGAGTACAATACTTACGTGTCGAAGCAGGACACGCGGAGTACGCAGCTGCCAGCACACGTGGCAGCACTTGCGGCTCGCTGTTCATGGAGCTAGTGTGTTGCACTGAGATACAGAGTGGGGAGGAGAACGTCTACGGTGAAGGAATGCTGCATCCAAAAAGAGTTGACTGTTGTGTGACTTCGTGCTTTGCTCCGGTCCGCGTCTGCTTCTTCCTGTATGTTCTGTTTTGTTGCGCTCTCACGATGGTTATGTCGAATGCTTCTTCCGGTCGCTAACGAGTTAGCATGTAGTGCATGATGTTTACACTGCCAGCGTGGCGTTCCAAGTCTCACGCGCTTACCCAGGCCGCCCGAACTGGCTCGCCGGTGCGAATATCACTTAGATTGCGGCGCAAGCTGATGACCCGTGGTGCGCGTTTCGGGGAAGCTGCACGCATGCTATGCAAGTGATACACAGAATTCAGTGAAGAGATTGCGCCCTGTATGCGTCCAAAGACATGATAAGCATGTGCACGAGATCACAATTATGTAATTTTGTGTTTTTGTCGGCACAAAAAGCAAAGAAGCATTCACAGGCCCGTATTCGTGCAACAGTGAAAGAATGTCTTAGGATTTTCTTGATTAGACCTCAGCAGCTGATGATGCAGCCATTCTCTGCAGCAAACCTTCGTTGAGGCTGTCGGTCAAGGAAAAACACGGCAGCTACTGCAAGTCTTATTCAATGACCACCCGCTGGTTATAAAGAACGTATCGGCCAGCCAGTTCAGTCGGCATGTAAGAGCCCTCGAGTTTTGCAGTGCCACACTGACTGTGCTCATAGTAAACTACAGGTCAACTCGTTGGCGACCGGAAGCAGCAATCCCGCTCCCCAGATCTTTTCCTCCTCCCTCAAGGCATCAGCTCCGGTACCCGCCCCCTGGGTCCGAATTTCTCATCGCAAGCTTCCGCCTTTCTTTTCTTGCCTTTCCTTTAGGTTCTTTTCACTATGTATGTTCCCAATTCTTTTTCATGTCATAAATGTGAGGCAAGCAATGTCCCAATCAATCAATAAATAAATTTCTCTCTGTTGTTCTTTCTATTTCACAGAATCTTCACGACCGAAACTTTTAGGTCTTAGTCTTTTTTATTGCAATGCAAGGTTTCCCGTGCTAAGTGAGAGACATTATACGACAGGAATCGCAGGCAAGATTTATCAAGTCCACAAATACGCATCACTGTGAATAGGCCTATCTAGGATCTTCGACTTCCCAGTTCTCTCTTCAGTTGTACGACTTCACACTTACTTCGTCAGCAGAAGAACTTCATCTGTTTCATGCAGCAAGAACACGGGTTCGACTCTACCACGGCGGTTATATTCCTTCGGAGCCGGAGTTTAAGAACAGTGGTGTATTTGGGCCTAGATGTGCATCAGCTCAGGAGAGTTGCTTCTTGGGCAAGTTGGTACATACATAGTTAACTAACAAAGCAAGCCACAAGACGTCGAACATTCTGTTAATCTGCTTTCTTCCGATTTCGACGTATTGTTGCTTTATTTGTAGGTAACTAAGAATGGCCCTCAGTAAACCACACATCTTCAAAGTTATGCTAGGACTCTACTTAACCCCCCCCCCCCAGCGGGTGCCTCATGTGTTAACTTGAACTTGGAACAATATTTATTTATTTATTTATTTATTATTTATTTATTTATTTATTTATTTATTTATTTATTTATTTATTCATTTATTTATTTATTAGATGACTTTATACTCCACCATATGCGGACTTCCTTCGATGACAGCCCATTTGGCCTGAAGCAAAAGCAGGTAAGAAAGCGGTGGGTTACATTTGGTTCGGGGTGTTACGGTCACTCTACCTACTACAAGTACAAATTGCGATGTTTTAAGGTAGATTCTTTTGCAGGGTAGTCCCTCCTGAACTTTCACCATGGATAAGTGTTTTCGGTGAACCTCATGATCAGGAATTACCTCGTGGTCTCAAAAAAAAACTTTGTGGTCTGGAAAATTAGGCGTCTGTGTGGCGTCAATCTTTTAGCTGTTGTTGTTTCTACGTATGTCTCTTTTTTTTTGTTCACCCGTGCTCTTCCATGGTCAGCGCCCACACTTTCAGCAGTTGATTTGCATGGATGAAGGCTAAGCACACGTTGCGTACCAATGCTATAAAATATAAGAGGCTCTATATTCGTGAAAGTAACATCTGTTCGGGGGCTAGGTGGTACGATGTCGAAATCGATATAAAATGGTGTGCGTGACGCAGTACCAGTAGAAGTAGGCAGGACGGGAGTAGATTAAGGAAATTTTTTGAATACATCCGACTTTCATTTATGACAACACACAACGTGCCCAAGTATTTACGATAGTGTCACGCAATATATTCAAGGCTCTTTATCAACCCTAGAAATTCTAGCCTTTATTTTGTGTAGATAATCACAGGGTCATTTATCTAGACCAAGCTTCATGATCCCTGACGCTTCCAATATTTCACGTGACCGTCTTTTTTCTGGCACGCCCCGATGCTTTTGGCTCCTCGCAGAGTGGCTTGCAATCAGCGCATGATCTGCAAAAATGACGATATGTAGGGTTTAACGTCCCATTACCACCATATGGTCACGAGAGACGCCGTAGTGGAGGGCTCCAGAAATCGAGATTACCTGGGGTTCTTTATCACGGTGAACTACAATTTACTGCCAAGTGTTGTCCATTACTTGACCTAATAGCATACGAATGTTCCAGCCGGGCCCGTAGCTAAAGGGGTGCTCTAGACTCCCCGCCCCTCGAAATTCGGATGCAAGAGTGTTTCGCAAGTTCTTCATGGCCTTCAATAGGTGCCCCCCCGCCCCCGCCCCCCAAAGAAATGACTACGGGCCTACCTTCAGTGGGCGCTTATTCAAGCATCTTCCCGTTTGGCCACATAGCCGAGTCGCCGTTGAAGACCATTTGTATATTTGTAGCTGGTAGTGAAGCTTAATATGTCGAAATTGAAGTATAGAGGGGGAAGGCGAGGATTTCTCGTCGTGCCCTACGTCCACAAACTTCTGTATGGGATCAAGAAAGTGGCGGCCTATTCAGAAATTTGGCCTGAATGGTTTTTGTTGAAGATTATCTGCTACCCACCTTGAGTACAAAATTTATGAATTCTTTTTATTTCTAAGACGAGTGCTTTGTAAAATTTGTACTAGCCTGTTCACGCTTTTTTTTTTCGCATGCTGACACATTGCAACAGTTTTGTTGCACTGAAATTTTTCACCCGGTGACATCCTTCCCTTTGGGCAAAATACTTTTCTTTACCATTGTCTATTAACTTACTAGCACAGAAGCTAAAGCATTTCGGTAATTCTTTTCTTGTGAGCATCAATAGTGAAACTCTAACAATTTTGTTTTCCTGGTACAACTGTGCTACTTTCACACTCCTGTGATAGCTAAAATGGTATATAGAGCTGCGGTGTTTGCGAATAAAGTACAATGAGTTGCTGGCTTGCTGTAGAGGTAGCATTTTTATGTTTTATTATTTGATCACCATCATCATCATCATCATCAGCCTTATTTACAGTAAGGTAAATCCGGAAAAATTACCAGGAGCACGTATCTTCTCTTGGCAGCAGATTGATTTTTATCATATACCTTTTAGTTTCTGTTTAAATGAAAAATTATAATCTGAAAAGAAATAGAAAACAAATAGCATCCGAGTAGGATCTTCTCGGAAAATGGTCAAATGGTTTTCGCTTGCGTAATTGCAAATAGCGAGGTAAACTTTACTAATTTCCGGCAGATTGCTGGGCTGGGCTCCCGCCTAAGAGTTAAAGATGAGGCCGTGTATCCCGGCAGCTTTCTCGGCCTGCTGAATCATCCAGAGCTCCTTCCTCACATGGTTTCAGTGTATTCAACACATGTATACACACTCCAAAATAAACAGGCGCGAAGCGAATGGAACACGCTTCACGTACTTGTGAACCAATTCAAAGGTTTTTTTTTTTTTTTTTTGAAAGATCGATACCCAGGGAAGACGATTGCAAGAGTCGCCCCAACCCTTTGAACACACGGGTGGATGATTCCCCCGTCCTTAATTTATTTACCCCAGTTCCTATTATTTTGTTTCGCGACTTTAGTAGCAATCTATCTGTCGTTTATTTTTACCTTCATAGTTCTGTGTGCATTGCGAAGGGCAGGAGTGGTTTTACTCGACGATATGAATCCAGAGCAGACATCTGGTTTTAAGTTATAGACCGCACTCGTAACAAAGCTTTCTCTCTTTTTTAATTTGGTGCATTCGAGACGTACGTGGGAATAATCGAAGTTGATGCCCACTTATGACGATGCCTTACCTGGTCACGTAGGACAATCAAAACTGGGAATGGCGGACAACGACGTACGTCATGGCCACCGGGTGGAAGTGGTACCTGCTGCATCCTGTGCTTGCCCGGATAACAGCCCACGTGGCACCTTCGGTAAGCGCACGCGTTGAACACGTCAACCTTCGTGAGCTGCAAGTAGTCGTATTCATGTCATATACCTTTCTTGTAGATTCAGAAATATTGATAAAAACAGGTCAGCCGAGTTCCTGCAACGTGTCTGCAACTGAGCCGGTATAGTTTCTAACGCCTAATATAGACAAATTGACATTTAACGCAGTTAGCCGGACACTGTAAGGTCATGGGATCCCCTGTAACAACATCAATTCATTAACACAACATATGAACTGGTAGTTAGTTACGAACACGTGGTGTGTGTGTGTGTGTGTGTGTGTGTGTGTGTGTGTGTGTGTGTGTGTGTGTGTGTGTGTGTGTGTGTGTGTGGTGTGTGTGTGTGTGTGTGTGTGTGTGTGTGTGTGTGTGTGTGTGGTGTGTGTGGTGTGTGTGTGTGTGTGTGTGTGTGTGTGTGTGTGTGTGTGTGTAGTGTGTGTGTGTGTGTGTGTGTGTGTGTGTGTGTGTGTGTGTGTGTGTGTGTGTGTGTGTGTGTGTGTGTGTGTGTGTGTGTGTGTGTGTGGTGTGTGTGCTTTTTCCGCCCCTATATGTAAAAATAACTAAAAGGAAAAAGGGCGGTAGCCCGTACCACCAGGAGGTATAACGGGCTCAAGCAATCTAACATAAATGAAGAGGGGAAACTTCCCAAATTTTTATTTTTATTTGAAAAAGCCAATTAGTTAAAAAAATAACATGGGTAAAACCTAGTGAGTGCAGCATAAAACTGTAATAAATAAACTAGTTAGCTTCTCAGGAATGAGCAGGTCGATATGCAGCAGCAGTGTATTTCCCCCACTTGAGTTTTTGGAGTTCGTGTGTGTGTGTGTGCGTGTGTGTGTGTGTTGCGTGGGTGGTGTGTGTGTGTGTGTGTGTGTGTGTGTGTGTGTGTGTGTGTGTGTGTGTGTTTTATTTTAAATGCAAAGTTGTCGTTGAATGCAGAAAGTCCAAAAACAAACAACGAAGTGGGATGCGAGCCAGTGGTCTTGAGGATGGGTAAACGTTGATGAGGATGGTAGCAGTGGCCTCTGTGATGTCGAAGCCCATTTCTTCACCAGGAGTCATGTAGCCAGGCACGTCGGGCTGTCGTTCCAACCAGCAATGCAGCAGGGAACCTTGGGCAGCCTGTTTGCCGCTGCGAACTTAGACAAGGCGCCATTCGCAATAGTAACAAGCTTTTAAAAAAAAAAAAGGTGTGTGTGTGTGTGTGTGTGTGTGTGTCTGTGTCTGTGTCTGTGTGTGTTTTCGCCTCTAGGCCTATTGCCCTATGTTGTCAAAAAATTGGAGCATATCTACAGATTGAATGAGGATGAGCGGGGCGAAGCGTCTGTATGCGCGTCCATGTGTCCATCCGTCCATGCGTCCAGACGGATTTACGTTTGAAGAGAAGCACTGACAGACTCATGGACAGTCGCACGGACTGATGAACAGAAGCACGGACGGGCAGACAGAAGCGCTGACGCACTGATGAACAGACAGATGTACTCACGGACGGACAGATGAAAGCAAAGACACACGGACGGATGGACGGAAGTTTAGATGGACAGACAGACGGACGGACAAGAGCATGGGCGGACGGACGGAAACACAAAAGGATGGAAGCATCGACGGACAGACAGACGGATGGACAGAGGGAAGGAAGCAGAAAAAAATGGACGCATGGACGGACGGATGGAGAGACATACAGACGGAAGCATGCACAGACAGACAAACGAATGGACGCACGGACGGACTCAAAGTACGGACAGAGGCAAGGATGCACGGACGGACAACCAGAAGTACGAATGGACTGATGGATGGAAGCACGAACGGATGGACGCACCGACGGCTGGACAGGTACTTCGCTCAACTCATCATCATTCACTCCGTGGATAGGCTGTGAAAACCACTAAAATCATCTTCCTACATTATTCCCAAGGACATATAAACACATCGCCATCTATTGAGGAAGTCATAATCTAGAGGTGGCTACATACTACATTCGGAAGAGAGAACGACTCACAGTCTAAGAGGCATCACCCCTAAAAATATCGCAGTTTGAAATTCACTTTCAACTTATCACAGTTTTGGTCCATCCCTCACCAATCCAACTTGGAATTAGGATCAAACACTGGGAGCTGTAGGGTGCCGTATTTCGGGAATTTTACCTAAACAATTTTTCAAATCGATTCAATATATGGAAAGCTAGAAGTTATTGAACACCGCTCATGTCCCGCTTTCAAATGTTGGGCTTATAGCCGACCATCTCCCCCTTCACCTAGGGTAGCCGTTGTTTGCTAGCTCCTTTACAAAGTTGGCGAAAAAGCGCGTTATGTCTAGGTGGCGAGGCCCACCTTTTTTTTTTCTCTTTGTTCTTTCTTTTCTTAGACCGAAAGCTCTACTCCTCCCGCACAAAACTGATAAAAACATTCATGAGCGTGTATTGGGCGTTGAAGCTCCGCCACCTGGCATAAGCGTCGTCATAGCAACGGACATGCGCTGTGCGGGTTTGTTCTCTCCCGCGCGCCCTTTGCTGTCGTTCAACGAGACAGGCAGCGGCCGCGCGTATATCGAATTCGGTGCCGTGACCCTCAGTGCGGCGTAATGTGGAAAGCGTGCCGCTGCCTGCCGCGTGGTGGCGCCGTTGCTAGGGAATGTACGCAGATGATATAGTGCTAATGGCCAACAACAAGGAAGATTTGCAGAGATTGATGGACATCTGCGGTAATGAGGGAGATAGGTTAGATTTTAGATTCAGTAAGGAAAAATCAGCAGTCATGATTTTCAATGACAACGAAGGTAGTGAGCTTAGAGTACAGGAGGTCACGCTACACATAACAGATAAATACAAATATCTGGGCGTATGGATAAGCAATAGGACCGAGTACCTGAGGGAACACAAAATATACGTGACGACTAAAGGTAACAGGAATACAGCAGTGATGAAAAATAGGGCACTGTGGAATTACAATAGGTATGATGTTGTGAGAGGAATATGGAAAGGGGTCATGGTTCCTGGGCTGACGTTTGGCAATGCGGTCTTGTGCATGAGATCAGAAGTTCAAGCAAGATTAGAAATTAAGCAACGTGGAATAGGTAGGCTTGCTTTAGGAGCTCACGGGAATACACCAAATCAGGGAGTACAAGGGGATATGGGATGGACATCATTTGAGGGCAGGGAAGCTAGCAGCAAGATAAAATTTGAGAAGCGATTGAGAGGAAAGGGGGAGGAGCGTTGGGCTAGGAAGGTCTTCAGCTACTTGTACATGAAGAATGTCGATACAAAATGGAAGAAGCGAACCAGGAAATTGACTGGTAAATACTTAGAAAACAGCAGGTGGCCAAACCAAAAGGAACTATCGGTTAAGAAAAAAGGGGAGGAAACGGAGACTGACATGTGGAGAATGGGCATGATTAAGAAGTCCGCAATCGAGATCTATCGAACTTTCAAGCAGGAAATTGCCAAGGAAAGGATCTATGATAATACTCGGGGTAGTTCTCTACTGTTTGAGGCCAGGACGGGAGTACTGCGAACCAAGACATATCGGGCCAAATACGAAGGGGTGGACGCAGTATGCAGTGCGTGTGGAGAGGAAGAAGAAACTACCGAACACTTGATAATGTTCTGTAAAGGGCTTCACACTATAGTTCAGGATGATGGCGCAGAGTTTTTCAAAGCACTGGGGTTTAGGGACCGGGAGGGCAAAGTAGACTTTAAGCGGGTAGACTTAACTAGAAGGAGGTTATCTGATTGGTGGCTAAAGTCAAGGCGAGTGAAAATTAAACTCTTCACTGCAAAGTACGAACCCTCAAACTCACTTTTTAAAGAAAAAAATAAATCTAGTTTTTGGTTCATTTAGTATTACGGCTTGGTGGCGCTAGCCACCATCCGATCTAAAGGGTACAGCCATATCCATCCATCCATCCATCCATCATCACGGCACGCTTTCTTTAGCTAGTTCTAATTTGCACCATACCACACCATAGGGGGCTCCACATTGTATGAAAAACCAAACCAACAGGTCCTCCTCAGTGGCATCAAGTACAGAGCGCCGTTACGTAAGCAATCATTCATTTTGTAAATACGTCCTGCTGCAGAGAAAGGGGTTCGTATTGTACGGAAATAAACTAGTAGTAGCGCGAGAGCATTTTTTTTTTGTTTTCTTGCGTAAAATGAAAGGACGAGCCTTCAAAAACCGCAGAAAAAGTACTGATAAGCGAAAGTTAACCCCGCTAAACTAATGACATGTTTTCAAAAGCTAGTTTTGGTTCCTACCGCACCCTGACGCGACGACACTGAACAGGCTTTTCGTAGCGTCCTAGCCTAGACATCATGACGTTTTCACGGCCACTCTGCTCCGCGTCTCCGCTAGTGACGTGCAAGCTGCCAATTGGTATTTTTCTGTACCTTACGTCATCGAACATCGCCATATTGGTGCGTCATGCCACAGCCGGACGCCCCGCTTGTGTAGATGTCAGCCGTGCGAAAATTTACTGTCAATAAAAGGTATCTCACCAGTATTCGCTGATCTTGTTACTTGCTCAGAGTCTTCTCTGTGTGCAAGAGATTTGTGATGCAGAGTAAAACGAACTGTACAAATTGATGTCAGTGCCCCTTTAAACTTCTACCACACTCGCGTGATGCATACGTGAAATCGTTTGCAGTCGCGATACCCACCTTAGCATCAACATGTTGTGCACGTTCACTTGAACTGCTCAAATCAAATGACGTGTCATTTAATGCAACGCAAGGCATATGCTTGTTTCTTAATATAAAACATTCGGAAAATGACAAAATATTATCAACATTCTTATTCCAGTACTTAGTTAGCTTTTCTCTGCAACTGCGCGACATTTTCGCAGCTGGTGCCAGTCTTCTACGCTGTCTACTCCTCGCTGTTCGCGACCTTCACCTTCGGCTGGGAGGTGGCGCTGCTGTTCCTCGTGCAACACACCGCCTTCTACCTCACGGCTTCGCTGGGCAGCACAGCACTGTGCTACGTGGCCGCCCTCGTGATTCACTGCCAAAAGTTCTTTATACCGTTTGAAGCATTCCAGGTGAGTCAAATGGGTTACCCTGTTTGCTGGGCCTGTGTGTCAATTTTGACTGAACAGCCGAGTCAACCTACGTCAAGCCTGTGCCGTAAGGATGTCTGCCCGGTGTCACGCCCACTACAATAACAGTGTGGGTAATAAATGAACAAATAAAAAAGAATGATGATGATGGCAATGCCTAAAATGATGATGGTGACGATGCTCGCAAAGAGACTAAACTCCTTTAGTCTATACTCGCTCACACTAACGCACCCGCACACATCAGTGGGATTTCACGGCGTGGAACTGGATGTTTTTTGAAGATGATAGTGTGTTTAGAAATAAGTTGTTAACGACATAGAGTACTTGGTACTCTACTGTTTAGGGGAGCTTAAAGCCGTCTCGTGGGCCTCACATTTGATGAAGCCCTGTTTTACGTACCAGCCACGAAATCACTAGCCCCTGCAAAATTTTCAGTCTGTCTGTCTTTCTGTTGGTCTGTTAGATGAACGATTCATTTTAACCCCTTGCTAAACACCCACGCAAATTAATTTGGTGGCTACGTTCATACTTCTGAACATTGTCAAAGAAAAATCAAGTATTACGAATATTCGAGACGCAACATCAATGTGCAAGTGTTAGACAATGTGCCTTGTCATTTAAGAAATGCTAAGGTACGTAATTCTAAAGCCCAATGTGCTTATTTTCCTGCGCTGAAAGGGCGGCGCTATGAACGAGAAAATGGGTGTTTTATGCTCCGCTGAAAAAAATCCGGGGCTTTAACTAAAATGGCCAGGTGCTGCCACGTACCACTGAATTAGCGTTCTAAAAAAAAATTGTTTTCTCCCATTAGTGCCAGATAGCGCCATATCTCAAGCAGCGCCAGGTTCCACGTCATTAAAACAGCCACCCTGTTCCACATGCTTTGGGAATGCCCACACAATCCTCCTCTACAACCCAGAGACAACACAATACTGTAGGATGGGAGGCAGCTCTGTCCAGCTCGGATCCGAAGACCCACGAGGCCCTCGTGATACGAGCGAGGACAGCGGCCCGTGCCAATGGGATCCCGGTCTAAGGATTCCTCTCACAGACATTCCTTCCTCGGTCGCAAATAAACGTTTTAGTCTCTCTCCTCTGCAGCGATGCACGCAGATACGCGGCCGATATTTGTCATGTACAACGAAGCTTCGCAGTCCAAGGTGACAAAATCATTCCCTCGGAAACTGACTGTCTGGAAACCGCGTATGTATAAAGATATGTGCTTCGAATTCCACAAAACGTAGAGGCATATTTTATTAAGTCCATGAAAGCACGAAACAATGACATCATCAGCAACGTTTCGAATATTTCAGAATAAATGCGTAGGTATAACAAAGCGTTGGATATGACGAACACGTGCCCTAGCACGCGTGGATTTGCTGTGAAGTCATACTTGAACAGCCACAACAGTCAAACTTTCCATGTTTCCACGACAGAAATGACGTCAAAAAATACGCATGATCAAAAGACAAAGAAAGAAGTCCCGTCACTATGAGTCGAACCCATTACCTCTGGGTCCGCGATAGCACATGCCGGGCACGCTATCCACTGCGCCATGGCCGCAAGCTCTGTAGGGAATGAAAAATACCCCTTGAATATCTACCACTGTGCTCTCACGGCATTCTTGGTAGAGGGCGGTAATGCATCATGTCGGAACTTCGCAGTCCAAGGTTAGATAGGTTAGATTTCAGATTCAGTAAGGAAAAATCAGCAGTCATGATTTTTAATGACAATGAAGGTAGGGAGCTTAGAATACAGGAGGTCACGCTAGAGATAGCAGATAAATACAAATATCTGGGCGTATGGATAAGCAATGGGGCCGAGTACCTAAGGAAACACGAAATATACGAGACGACTAAGTGTAACATGAATGCAGCGGTAATAAAAAACAGGGCATTGTGGAAAACAATAGGTGTGATGTTGTGAGAGGAATATGGAAAGGAGTCATGGTTCCTGGACTGACGTTCGGCAATTCGGTCTTGTGCATGAGATCAGAAGTTCAAGCAAGATTAGAAATTAAGCAACGTGGAATAGGTAGGCTTGCCTTAGGAGCTCACTGGAATACACCAAATCAAGGAGTACAAGGTGATATGGGATGGACAGCATTTGAGGACAGGGAAGCTAGCAGCAAGATGAAATTTGAGAAGCGATTGAGAGAAATGGGGGAGGAGCGTTGGGCTAGGAAGGTATTCAGCTACTTGTACGTGAAGAATGTCGATACAAAATGGAGGAAGCGAACCAGAAAATTGATTGGCAAATACTTAGAAAACAGCAGGGGGCCAAACCAAAAAGAATTATTGGTTAAGAAGAAGGTGAAGGAAGCTGAGACCGATATGTGGAGAATTGGCATGATTAAGAAGTCCGCACTAGAGATCTATCGAACTTTTAAGCAGGAAATTGCCAAGGAAAGAATCTATGATAATACTCGGGGTAGTTCTCTACTGTTTGAGGCCAGGACGGGAGTATTGCGAACCAAGACATATCGGGACAAATACGAAGGGGTAGACACGGTATGCAGTGCGTGTGGAGAAGAAGAAGAAATTGCCGAACACTTGATAATGTTCTGTAAAGGGCTTCACCCTATACTTCAGGATGATAGCGCAGAGTTTTTCAAAGCACTGAGGTTTAGGGACAAGGAGGGCAAAATAGACTTTAAGCGGGTAGAATTAACAAGAAGGAGGTTATCTGATTGGTGGCTAAAGTCAAGGCACGAGTTAAATTTAAACCCTTCACTGCAAGGTGCGAATCCTCAACCTCACCATTTAAAGGGAAAAAAATAAATCTAATTTTTGGTTCATCAAGTATTACGGCTTGGTGGCTCTAGCCATCGCCCGATCTAAAAGGTACAGCCATATCCATCCATCCATCCATCCATCCATCCATCCATCCATCCATCCATCCATCCATCCATCCATTCATCGGTGACATCCGCGATTAGTTCTTTCAACGCGTCGTTGGTAAGCGCCCATCTTATTCGGTGCGTTTCCAACTGAAGTATTTTGTCAACGCATGTTACCCAAAGTGTCGGCGTCGTTCATAGCATCCATTCATAACAAATAGCACCACGCCGCCCACCGTCTTTGCCTGGCTATAATCTGGCTTTTACGAGGCGTTCCCCACTAACGCTGATCCCGCGAATAATCGCGGCGGGGAAAATGGAAGACACGACGTGCATTTCGTTTCCCTGTGGTCTGGCAGTGGTGTTCGGAAACTCTCACATGCCGTTAGTAAGTGACCTTCGACAAAGTTCAATCAGTCACGCTCTTGTGGCTGTCACATCGCATTCTCTGCTTCTGCTCTCACCGGTAACAACTACAGCTACCACAAGCGCCTATGACCGCAAGAGTTTGTCGAATCATTAATGATGTACGTCAGTCTTCGGTATGGAGATTTACCGCCAAACGTCAACGTGGATGCATCCACATTAGGCTGTGCTACAGCTGCCAAACATCAAAAGACCTTGCGCGAGCTCTCTTATATCAATGTTGAGTAGACATTAGACTACTTGTGTAATTAAACGTTTTACTTTCATATTTTACTGTTTGCTATAACGAAAAGATGAAGCATGTTTTTTTTAATATACTGCAGTCTATAATGACCCGGCTGAAGTCTCCCGCATCCGGACACCCCTGCAGGTCTATCCTAGCCGCCGTTTCCATAGTCCTGTTAGACCGCCTGAATTCGGACGGCATGCCCTTAGCTGTGTAGGGAAGATTACTATAATTAAAGTGGCACGACGAAAACGTCGAGCCTCTCGACATATCTCCTACTTCCTAATGAAGTATATCCTAATTACAAGAAATGGAATTATTAAACGAACAGTTTTTGTTGCACACTCCTGCTTTATCATGGTAGTGGGAACGATTGAGCGTTGTTCTCGAGCTCTGAGATTGCGCTTTCATAGTGATCCACCCGATAACCATTTAATACGTTCGCATGAAAGAGAGGCCCTTTGAACTTGTCGTTCTAAAAAGAACCAAGACGCACTGGCATCTTATTTGTAGTTTCGTTGGGCATAGACCCAATAGTAATATTTGAAACAATGCTAATGAGAACTTGCTTGTGCAATTAACGTGAAAGAGCGTGTACTATAACTAGGCAATCTGATAGGCGATAGTTAGGTGAATAAGATCAAACCAGAACTTCTATTGTGCAGCAAGGCACCTTTAGCTGCGTGTAAGAGTAGAAGAAGTATTCTATTGATGATCTATCTATGCAAACATGTCGAAAAAAGCTTCGCCTGTAACCGATTTTATCAACTACGCATGGCATCAACCGACATCTTTCGTGAGAGATTGAACTGAACAATTCTATTCGGTACACAATATTGAAGACTCAACGTCACTTCGTTCCGCCAATTCGTTGAGCTTGCCATTGCAGATTATCTACCTTTTATCTCTTTCAGTACATGTATCCCAGGTATGGCGTGATGGTCTACAGGGCAGCATACGTCACCTTCCACTGGAACATATTGCGTGGCCTCAGTTTCGCCGTTGATATCGTTCAAGCCGAGCACCGCAAGGACACCGGGGACAAACGACTTAGGTGGCCGCCATACTGGAAGACGCTCGGTTACATGCTTTACCAGCCCATGCTCTACCTAGGTCCTCCACAGAAGTACGACGACTTCATTACCCAGGTTTGTTATGATGATATGTAGTTTACTGACTTTTTATAGCTCAAAGGCCAGTGATTGTGAAACATCGCCAAGTCATTATAGCCCATGTATGCCATAGGCGGGCGTCACTCCACATATGTTTGAGCAGGCAATACACAAATTAGACAATGGGTAGTAAAGAAAATTAGAGTGGGTGTCGGGATAGAGTAACACTGGCATTTCGTTCGTAAAACACAAAACAAATTTGTTGATTGCCGAAAAGCTGTGGCATAAGATTTACGTTCAGCTGTTACCGCTTCTACTTAAGGCAGGCAGGTTGCTATTGATCAGAGATTAATGAAACATAAGACATCGTTTTCTCAACGTTGACCATCTAATCTATCGGTTCTTCTGTACAGGTCACAAACACGCTCTAAAAGACCATGAACACCTAGCTTCGTACAGGCACAGCAGAGACGAAATGTGACGAATGACTGTGGGCTACGGGGCTTAGACCCCAACAATTATTAGAATGACTGAGGCCTGGTATACAGAGGGTAGTAAAGGTATCCCTCATGTAGACATCTAAGTATGCCATATTAATAGCATGCGCAAGTCTCGTTCGACAGGAGTGCAGGACGGGGTGCTGCCACTGACCACTTACATTATAGTATCTGGTAGCCACGCAGATATAGATTTTTTCGCAAACTTTCTTGTTCGACGCCAATACATGCACTTGGGACGCTATCTATCTATCTATCTATCTATCTATCTATCTACCTATCTATCTATCTATCTTTCTACCGATCATAATTGTTCAGCGAACTGGGAGCGCGGGAGGTACAGACACGAAGCAAAGAGGAGGCACCAGCACGAGCACTCACTGACAAGTTGTTAGTAAATTAAGTTGTTAGTGAAATTGTTAGTGAAGTTGTTATTGAATTGTGAATTACAAACTAGCCCACCTTTCAATTCTATTGCTGTCTATCTATCTATATATCTACCTATCTATATCTATCTATCTGTCTATCTATCTATCTATCTATCTATCTATCTATATGTCTGTCTGTCTGTCTGTCTGTCTGTCTGTCTGTCTGTCTGTCTGTCTGTCTGTCTGTCTGTCTGTCTGTCTGTCTGTCTGTCTGTCTGTCTGTCTGTCTGTCTGTCTGTCTGTCCATACGTCCATCCCTTCGTTTGTTCGTCCGTCCATCTATCTTTCTCTTTATCTCTCTCTCTCTCTCTCTCTGTTTGTACTTCGGCAGGCGGAAGGACCGAAACCAAGTTGCACCCTGCGGGAGGTTGCTGTCGTCACCGCGAAGTTGCTACGCAACGGCGCCCACTATTTACTCATGGAGCTTATGGCCCACTTCTTTTACAGGTGAGTGCATTAAAGTAAACAGGGTTTTTAATGGGTTACTATTACTTTCTAACGGCTTTTAACCATCCTGATGACATGTCGGCCAGTACGAGTTCATGGTGTTTAAAAGCAACAGCTTCATTTGATAACGGTTCCACTAAATTAAATTCAAACATTCGTCGCCTCGTTCATTATCTTTGCTACTAAACGTCATTTCACTCCTAACAGAGGGCAGCGTAGTTCGACTAAATTTATCAGCTAACGTGCGCGCAGAACCTTGAGCGTTTTATTAGTAGTAGTTACCATGCGATATTTTTACGAAGGCATGCGAACAGCTGAAGGCGACGCTCTGCAACCTAATGACAGTAATTGCTTAAAGCACTTGTTTGGGTGTTCCTTCAATGCTAAGTGTAGAGTAGCCAACCGGATGTTTTTCTGGTTAACCTCCCTGCCTTCTCCCCTTCCTTCCTTCCTTCCTTCCTTCTTTCCTCCCTTCCTCCCTTCCTTCGTTCCTTCCTTCCTTCCTTTCTTCCCTCCTTCCAAGAGGAAATACAGGGATGTCTACGACGTGTGTAAGAAATATATAGCCCAGGCGGCGAACTATTCAAGAGGCTCCACACTGTTAAGGTCATTTGAAGATTTTCCTGCAGTCATATATTAAGCGTCGGATAAAAACTTCTGTTCGTGAAACAGTTGGCGTAAAAATTCGATGCTTTTTCTTCACATTTTCAAACAGCGAAGCTGTTCAAGCTGGAGATAATCCAAGAAGCGTGGATTGGAAACGGCGCCCAGCTATAGCATCGCCAAGCATTTGCCGGCAGCCACTGCACCGTTCCACTTTTAAATGATGGATAATGAGAAAAAACTGAGGGCGAGGCAAACGCAGTGAAAGAGAGGCAATGAAAGATAGAAACAAAGAGAGACACAGAGATGGAGATCAAGCGAAACAGAAAAAGAATCAGCATAACCTTGTATATCATAGCCTTGTATAGCCTAGCACATCGTAGCCTTGTCGAACGTCTGCATAGCCTTGTGTCAAGAAGGTGCGAAAGAGAAGCGAATTCGCCTACAGCTACCCAATCTCGTGTTTCCCTGGCAACCTCCAAAAACGACCTCAAACATCACTATTTAAACTGAGTGTCTCATGCCATATCTTTCAAATTGACTTTTTTTCTTTACTTGTAACTTTGGTTTTCTCTTGATGTGCTTATTCATGTTCCACTGATACAATTGTAGATGCTTTATCTCATTTGTTTTGATTTTGCTCTATATTTCGTTCACTTGCTGTGTTAGCCATTATGCTCTGTATTTGTATAATTAACCAAGGGACTCACTACAGTTTGTTACTTTGGGACGCTTGCCTGTAGTTATGTTGATGTAACATTTTTAAAAGCAATAAACTGAAACTGATACTGAACATGAGGAGGAGGGAAAGGATGGGGCAGAGTAACGCATAGCACAGCAATTTGCAGTCACTGCTGTGGTAGATGGGTGAAAATTAATAATATTAGGTTGAAGAGGGAAATGATGAGGGCACAAAGTAAAGAACAGCATAGCCTTGTGTGGCATAGTATAGCAAGGAGTGTGAAAAAGAAGCGAGGCCGAGACTGATAGGAAAGGTGAAACATAGCATAGCATAGGCATGTTCAGTATAGCAGAATCACAGCCCGAGTTCGCTCGGGTTCATCATGAAATGAAAAGGAGGGTAGTACTGGAACAATATAGCACTGCGGTGGTAGATGTAAGTGTGGGTGAGAATGAATAATGTTAGGTTGAAGAGGGAAATGATGAGGGCACAAAGGAAAGCATAGCATAGCCTTCTGTAGCACACTATAGCAAGGAGTGTGAAAAGGAAGCGAGGCCGAGAATGATGGGAAGGGTGAAACATAGCATAGCATAGTCATGCTTAGTATAGCAGAATCACAGTGCGAGTTGGCTTGGTTTCATCATGAATTGAAAAGGGGGGGGGGTAGTACTGGAACAATATAGCACTGCGGTGGTAGATGTAAGTGTGGGTGAGAATGAATAATGTTAGTTTGAAGAGGGAAATGATTAGGGCACAAAGTAAAGCATAGCATAGCCTTGTGTAGCACAGTATAGCAAGGAGTGTGAAAAGGAAGCGAGGCCGAGAATGATGGGAAAGGTGAAACATAGCATAGCATAGGCATGTTTAGTATAGCAGAATCACAGTGCGAGTTGGCTCGGGTTCATCATGAAATAAAAAGGGGGGCAGTACTGGAACGAATACAAAAGACGACATCAACACAAGGCAGATGCTGCTCTCCCAACTAAAGTTGCTGCTGAACAAAAGCGTCGTTTTTTTTTCAATAAAAACTTCAGTTGTAAACTCCGCTCAGGTACTGTTTTCATCTCGCTCCTTGTTTTGGCAACAGCGCTGCCCCCTTTTAACTTTATTATGTGTAGTATAGCACAGCAAGGTGTGTAAAAGGCAAACTAGGGTAAGGAGGAAGTATGTGAGGCTGAAGACGAAGGAAAGGAGTAAAGCCTAGCATGCTGTTGTTCAGTAAAGTATAACGAAGAGTGGGAAAATGAAGGAAAGTTGATGAAGAGGTAAAGGCCTTCAGCGCGACTTTTTCTTCAGTATGCCTACCACTCTGCGCAGCTGCCACAGTTTTGTGGCCCGAAATTCGACAGTACAAGAGCCAGGCTACAATGCCGCACTCAAAAAACCCGCAGCACGTAGTCTTTCCATCTTAGGCTCACGCTTGAATAAACTTAAAATGTGCTGTATACCACCTACTTGCAGCCAATACACGCAGCACTTTGTACTCTTCAGCGTTCACTGTGTTTAAAATAAGTTGCGAACGCTTTAGAAGCTATACGCGGCACTCTACTATGAAAGGAATACACTGTTCCTGATTACACTTAGCCACGTTTTTACCGAAGCGTCCGCTCTGTAAGCCGTCCTATTCATGTATTTCTTCGTCATCGATGTAACCGAAGCTGCGGCCGCAAGCCAACCAACTTACTCAAATACATTGCAGCTTGGCAGACAGACCTCTTCTGTTCGCTGTCTCTGTTAAAAATATTTACTGCCTCTTGAAGCTAACTTTTCATGAATCATAACCTACAATCAATCAAATCTTATTTAGCCAATGGATCTGAAGGTCTTTTAAAACGAAAAGTCGCACGAACCAGCTTGGCTAGTTCTGTTACATACAGAAGAAAACAACTGCTGCATCTGGGGCACATGTATCATCGTTATGATGATTAAGGGAAAAAGCCCGGACCGACATGGTTGATGATGATGATGATGATGATGATGATGGTGGTGGTGGTGGTAGTGGTGGTGGTGATGATAATGATGATGATGATGATGATGATGATGATGATGATGATGATGATGTGCAGGGTTTACGTCTCAAAACCAGGATATGAATGTGAGAGACGCCGTAGTGTAGTGCTTCGGAAATTTCGGCCACCTTGGGTTCTTAACGTCCGCCCAAATCTGAGCACTTGGGTCTACAGCATTCTCGCCTCTATCGAAAATGCAGCCGCCGCAACCTGAATTTTTTCTTGTGGCCTGCCGGTGAGCAGCCGAGTACCTTAGCTACTAGACCACCGCGGAGGGGTGGCAGACATGGCGTCAGTATCATTTTTTCAAGGTTCACGAAGGCCTTTGAATCGGCAGCGTGTAGCGCTGGTGGTGCGAATTCGCGCATCATCAAAAATAACTGGAGGAGCCGACTAAGCGCATAGGACAGCATCTTTTACTATAAATAAATGTTGAAAAGTAGCGTGAAAGAAGTATATGCGAGCCTACAGAAGCACAAACACACATACCCACAAACATATATACGCAAAGGCTAACCACCACAGTGGCTAGGTGGGACGTCCCACATATTATCCTGCGATGTTCCACCAATGAAGTTTTTGGGAATCTGTACTCCCGTGCACTTTCTAGGCCAACCACCGTGGTGGCCTCGTAGTTAAGGTCCTTGGCGGCTGACTCCTGAGACGTGGGTTTGATCGCAACCCTGGCGGCAACATTTAGACGCAGGGGTAATAATAGTGGCCACATATTTCGATCACGGTTGCGGCGATGGCGTAGTGGTTAGAGCATGCGCCTCGCAGGCAAGAGGTCCGTGGTTCGAATCCCCGTGCCACGCAGTTCCCAACCGGCAAAAAAAAAATCCGCGTGTTGATGGAACTGCATTAAGAGGCCTGTGGTGCGGCCTCACCGGTAACCACCGCCGGGAATGCACTCCCTCACCAGAGAAGAATTGGCCACCCTGGTGCAAAATCTGGCCACTACCTCCCACATGCATACGTCAAATAACTCACGGCCCTCGGTCCCCAGCAGCTGCGAAGCAACTGACCATGGCGGCGGTCAGATCTGCAACGCAGATGAGGGTGCTAAGAATCTCTGGACTACAGGCCGCCTTTGGAACCTGAACTTGGCAACGTTTAACGCTAGAACCTTATCTAGTGAGGGAAGTCTAGCTGTACTATTCGAGGAGCTAGAGGGTGTTAAATGGGATATAATAGGGCTCAGCGAGGTTAGGAGGACAGATGAGGCCTACACTGTGCTACAGAATGGGCACGTCCTTTGCTATCGGGGCTTGGCAGACAGAAGAGAACTGGGAGTGGGGTTCCTAATTCACAGAAACATAGCTGGCAACATGGAGGAATACTATAGCATTAATGAAAGTGTGGTAGGTATTGTAATTAAACTGAACAAAAGATACAAGATGAAGGTAGTACAGGCTTACGCGCCTACATCCAGCCATGATGACGCTTCAGTTGAAAGCTTCTATGAATACGTTGAATCGGCAATGAGTAAGATAAAAACACAGTATACTATAGTGATGGGCGACTTTAATGCAAAGGTAGGGAAGAAGCAGGCTGGAGACCAGGCAGTAGGAGATTATGGCATCGGCACTAGAAACGCCAGAGGAGAGTTACTAGTAGAATTCGCAGAACGCAATAATTTGCGGATTTTGAATACTTTCTACCGAAAACGAGAAAACCGCAAGTGGACATGGAGGAGCCCTAATGGCGAAAATAAGAACGAAATAGACTTTATAATGACTGCACACCCAGGAATCGTGCAGGATGTGGAAGTGGTTGGCAAGGTACGATGCAGTGACCATAGAATGCTACGGTCTCGAATTCGCCTAGACTTGAAGAAGGAACGACAGAAACTGATACGCAAGAAGCCAATCAATGAGCTAGCAATGAGAGGGAAAGTACAGGAATTCAGAGTGTCGCTGCAGAACAGGTACTCGGCTCTTAGTGAGGAAACCAACCTTAGCGTAGATACAATGAATGATAATCTGATGAGTATCATTACGGAGTGTGCAGTGGAAGTTGGAGGCAGGGTAGTTAGACAGGACACTGGCAAGCTTTCCCAGGAAACGAAGAACCTAATTAAGAAGCGTCAAATCATGAAAGTGTCAAATACAACAGACAAAATAGAACTGGCAGAGCTTTCGAAGTTGATTAATAGACGTAAAGTATGCGATGTAAGAAGGTATAACATGGAGAGAATTGAACACGCTCTGAAAAACGGAGGAAGCGTCAAAGCAGTGAAAAGGAAACTTGGGATAGGCAAAAGTCGGATGTATGCACTAAGGGACAAAGAAGGCAAAATAACTACTAATATGGATAGGATAGTTAAAATAGCGGAGGAGTTTTACAGAGATCTGTACAGTAGCCGAGACAACCACGACCTTAATACTATAAGAACTAGCAGTAACCCAGATGACGCCCCACCAGTAGTGACAGAAGAAGTCAGAAAAGCTTTGGAGAGCATGCAAGAGGCAAAACTGCTGGTGAGGATCAGGTAACATCAGATCTGCTGAAAGATGGAGGACAGATTGTGTTAGAAAAACTAGCCACCCTGTTTACGAGTTGTCACCTGACGGGAAGGGTACCAGAGTCTTGGAAGAACGCTAACATCATCTTAATACATAAGAAAGGAGATAACAAGGACTTGAAGAATTACAGGCCGATCAGCTTGCTCTCTGTAGTATACAAGCTATTTACAAAGGTAATTGCTAACAGAGTAAAGAAAACATTAGAATTCAATCAACCAAAGGAACAAGCAGGATTTCGAACAGGCTACTCAACAATTGACCACATTCATACTATCAATCAGGTAATAGAGAAATGCTCAGAGTGTAACCAACCACTATACATAGCCTTCATAGATTACGAGAAGGCGTTTGATTCAGTAGAAATATCAGCCGTCATGCAGACACTGCGGAATCAGGGCATAGATGAAGTATATATAAACATTCTGGAAGAAATCTACAGGGGAACAACTGCTACCATAGTGGTTCATAAAGAAAGCAACAAAATACCAATCAAGAAGGGTGTAAGGCAGGGGGACACAATCTCCCCAATGCTATTTACCGCGTGCTTACAGGAGGTTTTCAGAAGCCTATAATGGAAACAGTTAGGGATAAGAGTTAATGAAGAACACCTTAGTAACCTGCGCTTTGCCGATGACATTGCATTGCTGAGCAACTCAGGGGACGAATCGCAACTCATGATTACGGAGTTAGACAAAGAGAGCGGAAAGGTGGGTCTTAAAATGAATCTGCAGAAAACGAAAGTAATGTACAACCCTCGGAAAAGTGCAGCGCTTCGAGATAGGTAATAGTGCACTTCAAGTTGTACAAGACTATGTCTGCTTAGGGCAGGTAATAATCGTGGAGCCGAACCACGAGATTAAAGTATTTAGAAGAATAAGAATGGGGTGGAGCACATTTGCCAAGCACTCTCAAATTATGACAGGCAGATTGCCGCTATCCCTCAAGAGGAAGGTATATAACAGCTGTATCTTGCCGGTACTTAGCTATAGGGAGCAGAAACCTGAAGACTTACAAAGAGGGTTCAGCTTAAATTGAGGACGACGCAGCGAGCAATGGAAAGAAAATTGGTAGGTGTAACCTTAAGAGACAAGAAGAGAGCAGAGTGGACTAGGGAACAAACAGGCGTAAAGGATATCATAGTTGAAATAAAGAAGAGAAAATGAACATGGGCTGGGCATGTAGCGCGTAGACAGGATAACCGCTGGTCATTAGGGGAACTAACTGGATTCCCGGAGAAGGGAAGCGGGTTAGGGGGAGACAGAAGGTTAGGTGGGCAGATGAGATTAAGAAGTTTGCGGGTATAAATTGGCAGCAGCAAGCACAGGACCGGGATAACTGGCGGAACATGGGAGAGGCCTTTGTCCTGCAGTGGACGTAGTCAAGCTGATGATGATGATGATGATGATGATGATGATGATGATGATGATGATGATGATTTCGATCACAGTGCACGTCCTAGAATCCCCAGTGGTCTGAATAGAGCAATCGCACGGCACCTTCATTAGCCTGGGTAGCTTGGGACTTTATACCCCAGAAACCAGTCAACCAACCATTTGCTGGGTATTACTAGACCAAGTCAATGAAATCTTACTGCGTTTTTGTGGCCAAGGCCCGATACCACAGCCATAGCTAGGCTTCTCGTGCTGTATCCACCCATGATCAGGCCAGTGGGTAATAGACCATATCACAACACGTGACACACACTGTGTCTTTTTTATGCTCTCCGGTTGCAGTTCAGCAATGTCCAACTGGGCCTGGATGGCAAACAGACTGGACTACGCCAGCCTGGCGGGCTATGCCCTAGCTTTGGAATTTCATTACTACGTGAGCTACCTGTTTCAATACGGCCTCCCCGGCTCTCTGGCCAGCGTGGAAGGCATCGCGGTACCGGCTACAGCCCCCTGCATAGCCAGGTTGCACCGGACCTCACGCTTTTGGAGGTGAGTGAAGTCCGAGCCGGTTGCGCACCCCACGGCATTTAAACTCAGTACCTATAGGCCACGCTGTGTGAGTGAGCACAATCAAGACTTTTTCAGGCACTGTAAAAGACAGCTGAAGGGTTCTGTGCATATTTCGGTTTATTTATTATTGATACTTTCTTCTGCCGAATATGCTGCTGTAAAGGGAGTTTAATGACGAAGAAAACGCTAATAGCTGTTACAAAGTGAGTATAATAACAGTAAAGACTAAAGGAATAATCACACCAAGAGCAAGATAAGCGCTACCTAATACTACAGGTATGCCTTCCTAACACAAATAAAGAGTTTACAATGTTTGTCTGCCTAAAACCCTGTGGAAATTCATTCCATTTACGAATGATTCACTTTTGTACCACAAAAAAAATTTTGCATGTTTTCCTGTTATGACCATGTGTTCGTGCTACGGAGATAGGTGGATGAGCCAAAGAGAACAGGAAGATTAAACGTCACGAAACAACCACAAACATCAAGCTTATTACATAAATTGAACTTTTTGCATGTTGTTTTGATAAAAAATTACTGAAAAATTACTGAAGTGAATGATGGCGAGTGAGCAAAGCACTGGAGATCATCGAGTAACCATGAATCCCTGTACCTCTCCCGCCTTACATCATGTAATAAGTAACAATTTTTGTGATCTTGCCGACTTTGTTATAAAACCACAAATGATCGCACACTTGCAACTGTTTCCGAAGCTGCGGTTGTGGAATTCGCGCTAGAAGTGGGCGTCAGCGCCGTTCACGTCGGGTAGTGTACGCTTCTTGCGTTTAGCCTCAGCTTCTCGAGCTCGCAACTCCGGGTCCGCTTGCCTTCGTGGTCGTTTCGCCGCCGCTTCGCGAGCTCTCAACTATGCGTCTGCTTGCCGACGCCTATGCACCGCTTCGACTTTGTGAGCACTCAATGCTTGCTGTCGAGCCTCATCTTCGTTCATGGTGAGTGACACGTATTTATGGTCGGAGTTTGAGAGACAAAAGGGCGTGCACTTCAATCGAGTTCTACAAGCGATTCTAGCGGTCGCCATTCAATGCTGACCCCAGCAGCCCCCTAACGGGCGGCACTGTATTTATAAGGCTACGCTGGGTGCACGCCTCAAACTTAGTACTAAGGTGCGTCGCCCCTAAAGTCGCTGAACTTGAGATGCCACTGTAGCTAAGGCTTCCTAAGAGTCCGTGAGTCCAACTCTCTGGCAACGTCGAAGACCTGTTCACTTGTGGAAACATTGGCTCAGACCCACCAAGCCTTCAAGTTTTCCCGAACTTCTTTTTTATGTGTTGTAGTTTATTTGTTATTTTTAATAAGGCTCCGTATATATTCTAAATATAATGATTCCCCTTTTCAGGTACTTCGACCGTGGCATGCACCTGTGGATCCGAAGGTATGCGACTCAGCCTTTGAAAAATGACTTGGTTGTATATGTCAGTACAAACGAAAACTCCGTCATCACCCCATAAATGATTTCAAAAGCCTCTCCGGATAATTTCATCTCACGACTGCACTGTCTTTAATTACACATCTAAGTTCATTGTGAACTTTAATTCTAACTGCCTGTTTATGCTCACACACGTTCAACATCCATCTTACAAAGGCGAACACATTAGACAACTATAAAAAATGCAAAAGCACATGTCTTGAAAACAAAGAATAGCCTAGTTTATTTCAGTTGAGAAAGGTTAACCGGCATCAATTGTTGGGAACGGAAGGCTAGACTTGTGCAGTCGTTTAAACAACTCTCAGGCCATAGGCCATCTTTACGCCTTCATTGTTAAAATGATGCGAGTGGAGTACCACACTAACTCACGGGAATTATGGGAGTGTTTCGTAGACTCCGCTTGTTTCAATAGCAAGAATCATGCAGCATTCGCTGGTGAGAAGGAGCATGCCCGTTATAAAGGGCACAATAGATTATTGAGATTGTCGGTTTACTGAAGCAGCAAGCAGCTCTAGAGAGCATAACATGCAATAAAAAAAAGTTGGCGGAGGCATTCACAAAAGTAGCACCACCTCACCCGTAAATTTTCATATATTTATCTGCGTACACAGGTGGGCACATACAAACGCACGCACAGACATACAAAAAAGGTAAACCCTCCCCTTGCTCCAAAACATAAAGTCACGTTACACCTCATTTATCACGGGGAATGCTGTGATTATCTCTTTCTTTCCTTTTCATCTCCTTCGTGTTCTCTGGTATCATTTTTTGCCGAGTGACAAATATTTTGGGGGAAAAGTGAGATGTGCGGCGTATGCGCTTAACGAAATGTAAAGAATTACCGACTGGTTCAAACCACGCCTTCTTTTCGGAATGGCACGATGCACAGTCAATAGTTTTTCTGATTCAGCTGCTTTGCATTACGCTACCGATCTTGCACACAGACGCCTAAATAAGGAAATGTACGAGCACTGTTACGAAAGCCGGGGCGACGCCAACACGGTCCCGAAGGCGCCGCTGCTTCGAACTCCGTCGGGAAGGTCACCCGCCGTTTGGTAGCGTACGTTTCTCAGCTCGCGACTGCTTCTGCGCAGAGCTGTTAGACGAGCGGACGAGACGACGGTGAGTTTACAAGCTTTATGTACAGCAAAGACATAGAGGCGTTACAAATTCAGCACTGGGGCCGACAGCTTAGAGACTCGGACAGCCGAGCTCTCTCCTCTGACACATAGGTCTACTACTCGTGACGTGCCGCAGGGCTTTTTTCATATGCACCGGGAGGATTCCTTGAGTAACCAAATGTCCAACCAGAAGCGCCGCTGGTCGTGAGGTCAGAATCCTCCAATGAAATTGCCGCTAAGCCGCGTAACTCTCATCAAATCCGGAGCCACTGCGCGTGGTTGCAGTCAAGGACGAGTGACGTTGCCACGCATTGCGCAAGACTCGCCGGACAGGAAAGGCGCCGATTGCTTCGGCGGGCTGTCGGGCTGAGGGAGCTCGCAGGTGCGTGACAGACCTGCGCCGCCGCGTGATGACGCCATTGAGTGTATTGCGCCTGCGGCTCGATTGCTGGCCTTGACACAGATTGCCTTTGCAGAGGCATCGGCGTTCAGTGCGGACTCCAAGGCGTAACAGCACTTACATGGCGGCTTATACGATAAGAGACTATTGCTGGTTAAAATCATCCTGTATAAGTCAATACGTGATTTCGACTGCAGTGCAAATAAAAACAAACCCAAGAATCAGCAGCCACGAATCCTCAGAGTTATTTTTGGCCTGGGTTGATTTTCACTAACTCTGCAACCATCACGGTTTTGAACCAACTAGCCCAATCTTAAACACACACTATAGCTTGCCTAATAATCAGATCCTGATCTTCGCCATGCAATATATATCTTGAAATAAAATACTTTGTCTCGTCTTCACAGGTACATCTACGAGCCCATCATGAGTGAAACTCGCACCGCCTTCCGCCTGATTTTAGGCACTGCGATGGCCTTCACTTTCACCTGCACATGGCACAGCCTGTACAAGCACCAGGCCATGTGGTGCGCGCTCAGTGTGCTGGGCATCGCCCTCGAAGTGGTCACCATCGAGGCGACGAAGTGGACACCCGTCAAGTATTTCAAGGTATTTTACTCTATAAGAAGTTTAGCGACATCTGAGAGTGTTCGCGCAGCTTATCTAAATCTATTCGTTAGGGCATCGTCGGTATTCCTGAGCATCAAACAAACTGTGTGGCAATAGGTGGGTGACACTTCCAAGGAAAGAAGGAACAGAGGGTAAAGAAAAGGCAGGGATGTCAACCATTCTATAGAGGAACGGGTAGGCTACACTGCAGTGGAGAAGGAGCTCGGAGAGTTTTAATGATGAAAAAAGAGAGAGGGCGAATTGCATGCATGTAAAAAGTCATAACGCTAGTACTCTATAACTACCTAAAAGATTATAGTCTTCAAGATCACCACACAAACAATTCCTAGAGGTGGCTAACCACTGAAGCCGATATGAGCCACTCCGGACAGTATCACTAGAGTAGTCCCGGTCATTCATTAGGGTATTTCTCAATCGTCGCTTCTATTCGAAACTTCGCCTCCCGTGTAATCATCTTCATTTTCAGTAAACCGGTCATGAGTATGGGTTGCTCCTCGGCATATGCACGGCAGGATTTTCGCACAGATAGTAGGGCTGCCGCCGGATAATACTACCACAAGCCACTGTTCCCCAAAATGGTAATTTGTGCTAATGTTATGCGTGGAATTCGCTACGTATATATATATATATATATATATATATATATATATATATATATATATATATATATATATATATATATATATATATATATATATATATATTGTTAAGCGGTTTATTGGCGGACACTCAGCGATGATTAACGACAGCGACAGTAAATGCGGGGATCGACTCTCTGCGCGAGCTGCTCTTCTTCTTGTGAAAAGGGCGACCCACTAGAAGGCGCTGAAGAGGACGACCCACTGTTCAAAGGCTTTACCACAACTACCCCGGGTACGAAAAGGGAGCCGCCTGGCGACCTAACAGGTGGTTACAATGAGCGGGTCAAGGCGCTCCACGTTAACAATTTCGCGTCCTCGACGACGCATGTCCGAAGATGGTTCGATGGGTTCAATCAAGTAGTTGACTGGGGAAGTGCATTTGACGACACGGTAGGGGCCTTCGTATTTGGGCAATAGTTTTGAAGATAGGCCAGTTGCAGTAGTAGGGATCGAGAGCCAGACGAGCGCTCCAGGAAGGAACGTGGGCGCAGTAGTGCTGGCGTCAGCGCGAATGACTTTTTGCCGCTCTTGATCATGCGCTGTAAATGTCCTTGCAAGCTCTCGACACTCTTCAGCAAGCTTGGCTGTAGCAGAAATAGGCGCCCACTCGGACGGATCTGGCTTGTACGGAAGTATAGTGTCGATGGTGTGCGACGGGTGCCTTCCATATAATTAAAAGAAAGGTGAAAAGCCAGTAGTGCTTTGAGGGGCGGTGTTATATGCGTAGGTGACGAAGGGTAGAATGTCATCCCAATTTGTGTGATCGGCGGCGACGTACTTGGAAAGCATGTCGCCGAGCGTACGGTTGAAGCGTTCCGTGAGGCCATTCGTCTGCGGGTGGTAAGCAGCAGTTTTGCGGTGAACAACGTTACACTCTTTGAGAATGGCTTCGACGACTTCAGACAGGAAGACGCGGCCTCGATCACTGAGCAGTTCCTGAGGTGGACCGTGTCGCAGCATGAATCGTTGGAGCAGGAAGGAGGCCACATCGCTCGCTGTAGCCGCGGGGAGAGCGGCAGTTTCGGCGTATCGCGTGAGGTGGTCCACAGCAACAATGGCCCAGCGGTTACCAGCTGACGTTAGTGGAAGTGGCCCGTACAAATCAATGCCAACGCGCCCAAACGGCCTGGCAGGGCAAGGTAGAGGTTGCAGACCTACCGGTGACAGTTGCGTTGAAGTTTTGCGGCGCTGACATTCTATGCAGGAGCGAACGAATTTCTGCACGTAGCGGTACATGCCGCGCCAAAAGTACCGTTGGCGAATGCGGTGGTAAGTCTTCGATACCCCGGAGTGCGCACATTGCGGATCAGAATGAAAGAATTCGCATATGTCAGAGCGCAGACTGCGAGGTATGACTAGTAGCCACTGGCGGCCGTCACCGTTGTAATTGCGTCGCTGGAGGAGGTCGTCGCAAACCGCGAAATGGTGGGCTTGACGACGCAACGCGCGAGTGGATGGAGTGGATGGATCAGTCAGCAAGTCTATCAGTGAGGCAATCCATTGATCCTTGCGCTGTTCAGTAGCAATGGCATGAATGCTAATCGAAGAAATGGCAAGGTGAGACACTGAGTTGTTGGCATTGTCGTCAGGCAAGGGAGAGCGCGACAGGGCGTCGGCGTCAGCATGTTGGCTTCCATTGCGGTATAGCACGCGGATGTCATAGCCTTGCAGGCGAAGTGCCCACCGGGCGAGACGGCCTGAGGGATCTTTCAATGACGACAACCAGCATAGTGCGTGGTGGTCGGTGACGACATCAAATGGGCGACCATACAAATAAGGTCGGAACTTTGCAAGGGCCCAGACGATTGCCAAACATTCCTTCTCGGTGACTGTGTAATTAGTCTCGGCTTTAGTAAGCGTACGGCTCGCGTACGCCACGACATATTCCGGGAACCCTGGTTTGCGCTGCGCAAGGACAGCGCCGAGGCCGACACCACTGGCATCCGTGTGTACCTCTGTAGGGGCCGTAGGGTCGTAGTGGCGGAGTATGGGAGGCGACGTCAACAAACGACGAAGTGTTCTGAAAGCGTCGTCGCACTGTGATGACCACGAATGGAGAGGCCCATTACTTCCGAGAAGCTTCGTCAGCGGCGATATGATAGTCGCGAAGTTTCGAATGAAGCGCCGAAAGTAGGAACACAGTCCTACGAAACTGCGCAGTTCCTTGACGGATGTCGGCTTGGGGAACTCGGTCACGGCCCGAAGCTTGGCTGGATCAGGGAGAATTCCGTCCTTGGACACGACGTAGCCGAGTATTGTCAGCTGCCGAGCTGCAAATTGGCACTTCTTTAGGTTCAGTTGCAGACTGGCGTTGCTCAGACGCGTTAAAACATGCCGAAGGCGTTGAAGATGCGTCGAGAAATCAGGAGCGAAAACGACGACGTCATCGAGGTAGCACAGGCACGTGTGCCATTTTAGGTCACGCAGAACTGTATCCATCATGCGCTCAAAGGTGGCGGGCGCATTGCACAGCCCAAACGGCATAACGTTGAACTCGTACAAGCCGTCGGGAGTGACAAAAGCGGTCTTCGGTCGAGCGTCCTCAGCCATAGGTACTTGCCAGTACCCTGAGCGCAAATCGAGGGATGAAAAGAATTCTGCTCCTTGCAGGCTGTCAATCGCGTCATCTACCCGCGGTAGTGGATACACGTCCTTACGAGTTATCTTGTTGAGGCGTCGGTAGTCCACACAGAACCGCACAGAACCGTCCTTCTTCGTGACGAGAACGACAGGAGATGCCCAGGGGCTACTAGAGGGGCGAATAACATCGCGGCGAAGCATGTCGTCGACTTGCTCGTTGATTACACGGCGTTCTGTGGCAGATACGCGATATGGACGTTGCCGCAGCGGTGGCTGTGCGCCTGTGTCGATGCGATGCGTAACGGTGGATGTGCGGCCGAGAGAATGTTGAGCGACATCGAAAGAAGAGCGGAATTCTTCCAACAGGTCCAAAAGCTGGGAACGCTGGCCCTGCGTAAGGTCGTCGGGTATGCAGGGACCGAATATATCATTGGATGGTGAAGCAGATTTCGAAACAGCACCAAGCGTACAGGAACTTGAGTAGTGCATGTCATCGGGTTGATCCATAACTTGCGCGTCTTCGATGGGTTCCACGCTGCCGAGACATTCTCCTCGCACCAACGTAACGCTGTACGGAAATGAGTTCACAAAAAAATAGTGGTGCTGCCGTGAGTGAGTTGCACGGTCGCGAAAGGAACCAGCAAGCTTTTTTTTATGAAGACACGATGAGATGGCGAGAGGAGTGCAGCGGTGTCAGAAAGGCTTGCGCAGTAGAGCGACACCGCAACGGACGAGTTTGCAGGCACTTGAGTGTCGTCTCTGACGAGTAACTTGCTTGCAGCGGATGGACTGTCGGCCGGCGTCAAAGAAGAGAATGGCGTGAGTTCTATTTCTGCTGGTGCGCGATGAATGACGGCGTCGTGGCGGGAGAGAAAATCCCATCCTAGGATGACGTCGTGAGAGCATGAAGAAATTATGATGAATTCGACCGCATACATCACGTCCTGAATCATAAGGCGGGCTGTGCACATAGCCGTAGGGTGAATACTTTGGGCGCTGGCTGTACGGAGGGAGAGCCCACAAAGCGGCGTGGTCACTTTGCGCAGTAATCGGCTAAGTTTTTCGTCCATCACGGATACGGCGGCTCCAGTATCAACAAGGGCATATGCACGAACGCCATCCACAAGCACGTCTATCACGTTCGACGGGCTTTCCTGAGGGCTTCCGCAGTTCGACAGCGTCGCAGCCCTTGCCTCGTGGACTGCGACGACTAGTTTCCCTGGTCGCCCTCGAGTGGACGTGGCCGCATTGGCGAGAGTGGGCGACGTCGTGGAGAAGGTGAACGGCGGGTAGACGGAACGGGACGGGACGACGGTGACATAGGCGGCGGTTGGTCATAAGAGCGGCTTGGCTGGCTGGGAAAGTTGGAGGCGACCTGCGGTTGCTGCACACGATTGCAATAGCGTGCTACATGACCGACGCAACCACGAGCAAAGCAGATGGGGCGATTGTCAGCAGTGCGCCATTGGTTTGCGGGTCGCATCCATGTCGCAGAACGCGATTGGCGAGCCGGCTGCTGATATGAGTGCATGGTAGGCGGCACTCGGGGCACGTGGGTGACGCCTACCATGCCTACCACTGTTCAAAGGCTTTACCACAATATATATATATATATATATATAAGAGGAAAGTTCTCCAAAACGATTGCATTGTATACAGTTCTGAAATTCAAGATACCCCAGTTGAAAACAACACACAGCAGCGTCTCACTTCTTCTCGTTTTCACTGTCTCATGCACAATTTCAAAGCATTTCGTATTGAAACTTCCACAGTATAGTCCTCTTTTTTAACGTGTATTATATTGCTTTAGCCCTGTTCCCAAGAGAGCCATCATTTTAAATTGTTGTGTCAAAACTTCGAAACAAAGTTTAAGAGCTCTCAATCTGGCTAATACTGCAATCGTTTCATAATATTCGGAGAAAAGGTTGTTAAAAGCACTCAGCTGCTCAAAAACTCGCTAGATGGCGCGTGTTTTGTGCATGAGTGCATATGAACGTTGTATTCCTCGGTAAATAAGCCACAACACCCAGGCACTCTCAGAGACAATATAGCTACTTGAGTAGGCCTCACAGGCAAGTGATTCCGCAGTGCATGTCATTGCTAAAGAGGACATAGAGTGCTGCTGAAGGCGTCTTGGCGAAAGTCTGAGTGCCAACAGCATAGTCGAGCATCCATAAGTACCCGCGTGGTCGTAAATCTGCAAGATTCCAAAACATCTTTGAAACCTCTTTCGGGTGCAAAGGATGATGGGCAGTCTATGGTCGAATGCGTTGCTTTTACATCACACTATCGCAGCTCGTTCCCCGTTATATTTCAAACAAAAGAAGACGGTAGTGTGTGGACATGTTCATTTTTTTTATTTTATACGTGGATATTAACGTGCCAAAACCACCATATGATTATGAGAGACGCCGTAGTGGAGAGCTCCGGAAATTTCGACAACCTGGGGTTCTTTACGTGCACCCATATCTAGCACACGGGCCATGCATTTTTTCGTAAGCACTTGTATTTGGGTGTATTTACATGTCTCTATCCATGAGGTCAGCGACGTTCTCTTCTCATGCCAATAAATCCTGATCTCAGACTCGAAAACTCGTCCAATTTGTTACCGGTTAGCTATATTAGGACTTAACTTAGTTTATAATTTCTCAGTTCTCCTCAGAATTCCAGACATCAAAAGACTTGTCCAATTTCGTATTGTACTCGTTAGGCTGCGGCTATATTCTATACATTGGCCCAAATAAAGACACGGTGGATATACGGAACGCCCAATAATCAAAACCTCACTGTTTCAAATCTAAATATAAATGTTCCCTTTCAACGCTTCAGGTCCCCATAACTAAAAAAAACAACTACAAGTAACATCGTGGCTTTGTGTTAGAACACGTGTTTCCCACGCGAACTGCTCGGGTTGGATCCACAGTGAAACCGAAAGTTTTATTCATTATTTTATTTTCTTCTTTCTCAATTTTTCGCTCGCAACCAATGGTGCTGACGCTGACGGCCAAATTTCTGTGACACGAGCTCTCTAACGCTATCGCGTTAACAAATATCTTGCCGTTCACAAATGTCGACACTGCACCTCAAGGTGATATTGATGGGCCGATACGAGGGGGAGAATGATAAATACTGGGTTATATGAAACGAACCTTAGGACGTGTACATCAGGCTGACATCTGTTCTCTCTTTTAAGGAACGCTACCTGGCGACGCCTGAGAGGATGCGAATGGCCAAGGCCCTGCTGGGATCTCCACACTTCTTGCTCACCATATGTGCGTGCCTCTTTCACTTGGCAAGCCTGGACACCTGTGTGAGCATTTGCAGCAGGATACTAACCGGTGAGGCTCTTACCATCGTCCAATCACTGCCTTGTGAATCGACCTGGCGATAGCTACCACTTGGTTCACCCAGTATCTGCTGCGTTCCGTTGATGAAAGCACGCGGGCGGGACTTGCGAACTTTGGCAGGTGAACGTGGCAACACTGCCAACCTGACACTGTGGGAACTCTGGCATTTCGGTAACTCTGGTGACCAAACTCAAACGACAGTTAAAGTTCGCTTAGCGAAAGCCTTCGCTTACTCTAAAACTAACTCTAGACCCTTCTCTGTGTTACCTTCTTCACACAGCCGTCACGTGGCACACTGAGTTTGCGAAGACATCCACGCCATATAGAGAAGGGGATAGGCGAGCAAAAATAACTGTTGCCTCTGCGAGGTACGTTCTTCCACCAGCTCCACGCAGAATGTCGTTTAATCTGCGGTACGTAAGATGGTGCGCATACTATATACTATATCTTAATGGGTCTGCAGAGGCTCCGCCCCGACGAACGGAGCGCAACCACCAATTGCCTACGCCACAGAAATAGTCCCGTTAATGAACCAGAAGGCGGTGTCACTGGCCCTCGGGTTGATTACGTCCGTCTAAAGTTCCAGATCATTTTTGCAGGCTCATATTCTTCCACGTTTCATAAAAAAAATTCCTACAGTTTATAATATGATCTAGTACAAGAAGTTTTTTTGTTGTTGTTCCACAACAATAATTGTAATCTGGCTTGTTCTCGCTACATTTCATGAAAGCTGGCTATTTTCCGATCAAGAATGCTATGCGACGCTGCGAACGCAAATGTCGTTGTGGAAATGAAAGTACCGGGCAGTTTACATCCGTTTACAACAGTTTTCAACCGTTTTCAGAAAGCGACAATGCTGGAAAAGGAACGCAATACAGACTACGATAATTATTGTGGTATGAAAAAACACCCTTTTTCCCTCGATCATTTCTTAGAGTGTAAGAAATATGTAATAACTCTGTCAGCACGTCTTTGCATGTGTTCTGTCTTGCACTACTTGGTCTTTCCTGTGTTCGAACCAACTCGCCAAAGCATCTGTTTTAGCAAACACAATACCACAGTGTACTAAAGTTGCATCCTACTGAAAGGTAAATGGAACCGCGTTGATCACATCAAAGCACCCCGTGTATAATTGAAGGCCACCTCGCCACCAACAGCAACGTCACCACCGTTCAAGGAAATTCGCGTGATGTCAATGTACACCATGTTTTCGCGCGACTCGAAGTTTGCCCTGGGCTTCTATAGAGATATGCAGGACTACAGCATGGTGTTTTGATTTGCCAAGTACAACAACGGCATGACAGCTTCGATGACGTTGCAAGCCATGCACGGGTTGCTGGATACAATCTACCTCGGTTTTCTTCTTATAGACGTGATGGTTTATGCATGCTCTTTTAACTTGCAGTTTTCTTTCTCGTTTACTGTACGCGCGCTCGGGTAGCTGTCACGGCGAATCCTTGGTAAGACGCATCGCTTCGCAGCATTTGGTTGGTATAACAATGTGCGTGGAACGTGCTCACCTTTAGGCGAGCACATTTTACCGCTTAACTGGAGTAATCCCAATATAACTAATCGTCACCCCGAGTAACCTTTTAAATGCAACTACCCTAGCAAGCATTGATGTTCTTTGCTGAGAATTTTCCCTTTTTCTAGGAATTATCGCCTGTCATTCTGAACTGAATGCAAAAAGGGAATTTTCGTGATATTGAAGGGATATTGATGATGGTTTAATTCTCATTTGATGAGCGGTAATTAGCAGCCACAGTATGCCTTCCTCTGCTGTAATCGGTTCTGCACGCATGCACCACGGAAGCAAAGCCTTTCATATTTGTTTCTGATATTCACGCGGAGCGCTTGCTAGTTCACTATTGGTGTCAGGCTTGAAGACGACGATGTCCAGAGTACTAACAGTATTTGAATTAATAAAGTCATGCTTTTGTTGTGCGGCAGTGGAGAGCCCAGTCATGACTTCAGAAGTTGTCAGTACGTGAGATACGTGTATTTATGTATGTGTGTGCGTGTGTAGGGACGGAAACTAATACTCTTGTGCAGAGAAATATGCTGCAAATTTCTTCAACGTTTCCAGGGGGAAATTCCCGATATATGGAATGTTCTTGTCTTTGAATGAGAATTCTTCGATGTAGTCCGGAACATCACTGCTAGCGAGTGGAAGAAAATATGGGTGGATGTTCCCGCTTCTGCTGCTGAGCATCTGCAGCCCAAGATGTCATTTTCGTGCATTGTTTAGAAATTCGAGAAATTGCAGCAAGGCATTGTGCGAGAGTGCCACAAAAACATGTCTTGCATCGAATGTTTTTTTAGACATTGCTGGCTAGCTACTTAATGCTGCCAAAAATTATATTACTGGTTCTGTTTCGGGCGCTGTTTACAACTCGCTTCAACAATATCTCGCCCAGAAGTCGGGCCTGTAATGGAAACCAATACACGGCAACGAATCGGTATGAACCACAGGCGTCATTTAAGAAGGAGAAATATTGCCTCGTCCGCACTCCACTTTCCGTAACACTCTACCTTGGGGAGTTGATGGGTGGTCGTGTCGTCCCTCATAACATCGCCAATGAGATTCTGATTCTATTTTAGGCATGCACTGAACTGCAAACATCAATCCCACACAAGCGTCTCAGTTGGTCACATTGGTGAGGCATTTTTCAATTGAATCCCTGAACAGACAGCTGCAACATGCTAGTTCTTAACCCTATAGAAAGTTTTTAAAGCTACGACTTGGATATTACTACATACCTTGGATCTTGCGTTTGAGTGATGTAGCAACATTTTAAGAAGGTAGCATCACAGTTAAGAATGAAGGCCCGTTTCAGACTATTGGGCTCCAGCACGTCTCGTGCTCCAAAAATATTCGCACGATGTTACACTTTGCATAAATGTCAACAACATGTAGTACACCATAGTCTACTGCAGTTGACATTCATGTCAACTGCGTAATATTAACTAGAAACTAAGCCTCAGTACACAATGGTGTTCTGTATTTCAAATTTTTAGTTGACGTTACTGTAGTCGACAAGAATTTCAACGGCAGCACACCATGGTGTACAGTAGTACGGTGTACTACGCCATGCCCATCACGCAGTACACCATGATGCACTGTACTAACCATTCATGGTGTACCGTGGAACACCACGGTGTACTATAGTTTCCAATATTACAACCAGCAGCTTCGTGCGAATATTTTCTTTTGTTTGCACGCAGCTCTGTAGGCATGCACCCAACCGTCGCCGTTGCGGCCATCGTCATCGAAGCTCCCTAACCTGGGAAAGCGCATCGAGCAAAACAACAGGTGTGCACTGCCGGTGCAGCGGGAGCGCAGGCACGGAGGCAGGCGCATGCTCACTCGCTCAATCTCCCTACTCACCAAGCACTGCCAATGCTCTCACCACTCCCCGCACCCTTTTTCAACGCTACCGCTTTCATGAAAAGCGGCAGCAAGATCAGGCGTATAGTCTTTTAGTCTCCTTTCTGAGGAGCTTCTCTTATCGGTTATATTCATACGTGGAACAATTGCTAGTTTTGTTCAAGAAGTTCTTCGGTTTTTTATTGCATTCAAAAATTGTTTCTTTTTCGGCCCGTTTGCAGGTTTTCCTTTCCCGATGGTCCCCATTTTGGTGGTTATGTACAGCCTCTGCCAAGTTTCCATGGACGTTGCCGAGTGGGAAGAGGCGCCTGCCTTGGCTAAGCGGAAACAAGCTTAATCTTCATCTACTTAACTGCACTATGCCCCAAAGTTACCTGAGTCAGCCATAATTACTTTGTTTTAGATCCGAAGCAGCTCTTTGACCAGCCTGTGTAACAATGTCCCTCCGTGTGTCTGTGCGAAAGCACAGCAACGCGCTCCCCTTACCGCAGGTGTTGGAGTGGTGCAAGGTAGCTCACGCCGCAGCTGCGATTTGACGTTACGATCGACTTACAGTGCGCGCTGACGTCTTTCTCCCGCAACACCTTCCGCAACCACCACTCACAACACCACCGACTTGTCAGTTCATGTGCAATAAACCTAACGCGCACCTAACGTACGCGTTGAAACATGTCGCCTCTTTCTAGCTGCGCCGCAGCCATCTCTTCAAACGAATCTTCCAGCACTCACTCGAGCACACGTTGAAAAATTGATTTGCTGCACAAACTTCAAGGAAAACAAGGGAGACAAGAAAGAGCGCAGTTTCCTTGTTTTCCTTCAAGTTTGTGCAGCAAATCAATTTTTCAAGTATGAACCAACTAGTCTGCAAAAAAGTATTGCTTCGAGCACACGTGTTAGCGCCGTTCAACACGTGACACCACTCATGTGCAACGCTGCTGCTTCGCATCCCATCAGAGTTTCTTTAAGGAAGATGGTGTGAATTCTTTTCGTTTCCTCGCATAGTTCAGCCACTGTGCGTTTGTGCATTTTACCGTGAAGCCACGTTACAGATGGAGATTTCATAATGTCCTTCATGCGATACCTTGAAATTGTACTGTAGCATTTCCGATGGAGGCGGAAATGTTGTAGGCCCGTGTACTCAGATTTGGGTGCACGTTAAAGAACCCCAGGTGGTCAAAATTTCCGGAGCCCTCCACTACGGCGTCTCTCATAATCAAATGGTGGTTTTGGGACGTTAAACCCCACAAATCAATCAATCAAATTGTACTGTATAGAAAAGTTTACACGTGACAGGAATTTACTGTTGTTGTTTCGCTCATGCATTCACCTCAATGATTATAAATAAATTTACGTACGAGACAGCTGCCTTATGTCTTGCCATATTGCACACACAAATACAGAAACGAGAACGACGAAGAATGACGGTGAAGAAGTTTTATTTGTTGCGATTTCTGTCTTGTTGCTCTCAGCCATAGTCTCATTCATATTCTATACGAAGTGTTGCAAAACGAATTCAGCTTTGAGAAGTTATTTCTCTCATTGATAGATGACTGGTGAAACTTTTTGAACGGAACTAGGGAACGCGTACAGAAGTTGCAAGTGTGTTCCCTGCAGGCGTCAGTTGCCTTTTCGATCACATTTGTTTCTTTACGTTTATGAGATCATTTCTGCCAAATAACGTCCCCTATAACTTTATTTACTTCTTTGTTTGTATGGAGCCTGAGCCACTGCCTCACTTCGACAAACATGACCCTACTGTCCAGTTTACGCGCACATGCGCGCGTAAACTGGACAGGAGGGTTATGTTTGTCGAAGTGAGGCAGTGGCTCACATGCGCGCGCGCGCATGTGCGCGTGTGTGCGTGTGCGTGTGCGTGTGCGTGTGCGTGTGTGTGTGTGTGTGTGTGTGTGTGTGTGTGTGTGTGTGTGTGTGTGTGTGTGTGTGTGTGTGTGTGTGTGTGTGTGTGTGTGTGTGTGTGTGTATTCCTGCGTGCGTGCGTGCATGCATGCGAGCTTGTGCTAATGAACAGTTCGCCCTTTCTCACCCCGCGGCGGTGGTCTAGTGGCTAAGGTACTCGGCTGCTGACGCGCAAGTCGCGGTATCGAATCCCGGCTGCGGCTGATGCATTTCTGATGGAGGCGGAAATGTTGTAGGCCTGTGTGCTCAGATTTGGGTGCACGTTAAAGAATCTCAGGAGGTCGAAATTCCCGGAGCCCTGCACTGCGGCATCCCTCATAATCACATGGTGGTTTTGGGACGTTCAACCCCACATATAAATCAATTAATCAATTCACCTTTTCTTTCTTCCATTCACCCCCTCTTGCCCCTCATGTAGCGTAGCGTACTGTAGCGTAGCAAAACAGACATAGTCTAGGTAAGGTATTATTGGCACGTTATAAGACATCGCAAGAGGAATATTTTCGTTTATTCGGTATGCAGTGTAAATGCTCTCCAAACACCGGCGTCAGACAACAAGTATTAAACAGTTCATTTTGGTTTTTAAAATTTTATTGCTGATCATCTGCAAGCCAGCCTAACTACATTGAACATTATCCCGATGAGCCAAGACCGTTCCCGAGTTGGCGAGCTCTGGCTCCTGCATGTAGCCCAAATCGCAGAAATTACCGCCAGCTTCAGCGGGAAGAAAATTCATCGATGTTTAAGTGCACCACAAGCAGATGACAGATTTGCCATTATTACGACGCCTGTTACTGCTTCCCCGTGAGGTCACACTGCTATAACACGTCACAAAGAGCCCACCCCCTACCATACCGAGATTTTTTTTAAGGTCGCGATAATGAATATATCCAGCACCACAATCATCAGTTTAAGGTTTCTCGACACCAGCACTTTCACTTAGAGTCCCAGTCCAAAAACTTTTAGAATTTAGGTGGCTACTCCCTCCATTTCCCGCATTCTCCCTCGTACCGATGTGTGTGGATTGAGACGATTATATGGTGTAGCGTAAAGGTGTGTAAATTGAAAGAGATTGAAGAGAGGTAAATGATATTTACACCAAGTCGTATATATATACGAATCAAACAGTATTCGAATAGCTTTTGAATAGTGAAGCAACAACTTTCGAAGCAGGCCTAGACTGCTAAGTGACAATTTTAAAAACTGCCCGAGAATTTCACATTTTATTCAAACGAATATTCTCTAGCTTTAGCAAAGGATTATTACGACTGATCTTAGCTAAAAACTATTATAATCATTTAAACTGAGTAGTACCTAGAGCTTTAGGAATATTTCTTAACTGGTGGATGAAATGTAGCAGTGACTACGGTATTCAAGGTGGTACTTTATCAACAGCTTTTTTAATGAAACTGGTACATAGACATCAAACAATTTGCCTGAGTCGTCATCGAGAATTCGATAGTAAAGATATTCGATTCCCGACTCTATTGCTTCCGCGACATTGAACTTTTCAGCAAAACGCCTTCATCATCTGGTCAATATGGTATCGATAATGCCGCAAGTACACAGGCTGCGCGAATCTGGGTACTTCGGTGATAAAACAACAAAAGTGACCCCTCGCTGCTCACACGTCTGGTTTCTTTAAGCATCTTTTGTCGTTGCAGATTATTCGAAAATATTTTTTAATATTAGATATTTTTGATTGATGTATATGTGGGGTGGAACGTCCCAAAACCACTATATTAATATGAGAGACGTCATAGTGGAGGGCATCGGAAATTTGACCACCTGGGGTTCTTTAACGTGCACGCAAAGCTGAGCACGCGGGCCTACGACATTTCGGCCTCCATCGTAAATGCATCCGCCGAAGCCGGGATTTGGTCCGGCGACCTGTGGGTCAGCAACCCTGTACCTTAGCCACTCGACCACTGCGGTGGGGCTTACTTGATGTTTTTAATAAATTCTGTTTGATCCCAGTACCGAATAGAATGCATTCGACTCGTAATTCAGTATTTTCGAATACTCGCACACCCCTAATGCTACGCAGCTGCAGATTTGTTGTCTGAATTATTTAAACGTGGGTTAGTTAACACCATAGGTGAGATCTTCGCTAGGTGCCTCAATAATCTCGGATGCTCGAAATCTTTCAGTTGATCAATTAGTTTTCAATTAGTATTCTTACTTTGACGATCTCCTTATGTTAAGTAATATTACGCTCCAATATGACATGCATGCGAGAATACTTGTAATTTAAACCAGAGGCATTGATTTATACACTTAAAAAACTACCTTATTTGAGATTTATGCATGGACGTCGCCATCTTGGTTTGATAATCGAATGTTCTGCTGTTTTTCTATGTCACATTATGAAATAACCATGGTCACAAATTGTTCAGCGTCCGATTCCACCATTTTCGGGATTGCGATGTGGCCCTGTTTGGTTACTTTATATGAATATAAAATTGCAACGTTGTCAGCTACAGACAGCAGCCCTGTAAAACGTCCGGAAAATCGTTTACGAGCATATATTCTAAAAAGCGGAAGTAAGCGCTTGACTGCGTATGCTTCGACGAGAAATAAGGCCAATAATCAACGCGCATGTCATTGAAAAGGCTGCTGTTTTCGACGAGCAAGAGCTTCTAGGCGTTCGGTGAAGGATTATGCGATATCCCCAGCTAGTGAGCAGACACGCATGCTAAATGAAGGAAAACGGTGTTGACTTGCTCAGCGCCTTCTTTTTATTATCAATGACAGCCAGATGCGGCCGATTCACCCGTTCACTTCCCTCTCCTCTAGCCTTTTTCTGCTCTCGCCCATCGCATATAGCGTTCACGTGTGATTTGCGGTCATGGGGAAGAGAGCCCCTCATGCAGTGCATGATGGCGGAAATCTTATGAAGTAATAGCCCTGTCACACGTGACAACTTAAGTGCACTATGAGCGAGTGTACCTTACGCTCACGAAGTGTCATATTGGCAGTTCGCTGCTACAAGAGAAAGCGAAGTGTACTCTGGAAATGATGGCAGTGGCGATTTACGGATTTGTAGCACAACGTATATTTATTAGTTTTGCGCCTGTGTCTCATCGTCGGACCGCGTTGTCTTCGTCGGAGTAGCACCTGTGGCACATGCCATCTTAAATAACTAGAGAACAACTCACCTACACATCTCCAAGTGTACATGGAATAATCAACATGGTAAACAAAGTGACGGACACAGCCATTGCTGTGCATGTGCTGCCGCATTCCCCTAGCGGACGTGACCGCAAACAGCCCGACGGTAAAAGTAGCGAGGTTTTTGTTGTATTTTATGACTTGTTTTACACATAACAGTATCCATCATAACAAAAACAATAGTTTAAGTATAGTATGAGCGCTGCTTTAGTCAACAGCGTCCTTTTGTACAAGCAACTGGTACCGAGGCTACATTATCGCAGCTGTCGCAGTGAAGTGCGGTTGGGGAACGCACTTGCCGGCAAGTTTACTTTGCAGCGAGTGACACTAAACTTGCTCGTGTGATAGCGCGCAAATATACTCGCGGCCTAAGTGTACTTGCTCAAAGTGCCTTTAAGTCGCTGCGTGTGACAGGGGTCCAATGTTTTTGTTCATTTGTGTAGATTCGTGGGGCCGCGTCTTGCATTCCTCGCGTTCATAATGTTGGCTGTCACGCTGGCTCTGTAAAAGGCACGTTGTTTTGAGATTGCGTGTCACCGTTTGTATCGCTGTGCGGACAACCAATGTGGA